AGCTTTATTTTACTAGCGGGTTTTATGGTGCTTTGCAGCGGTAGTGTAAGTACAACACCCTTATGTTATAATTTTGGTTTTGTTAAGAGCAAAATGTGAGAGCTGGGCATCTGATTGAACGGACGTACGCAAGATAGGTTTATCATAGGTTGGAATACAATTGAACACCAAGTCTTTGAGTCACATGTGAACACACCAAAAGGCGTAGGTGATGTAGTTGTTTTTGGAAAATAAATCGAGACTTGGGAGATATTCAAAATGGATTTTTTAATTCGAGATAAAAGGTTTGAGAAACTTAAATTTTGCACTGAACCACTAACTTTGTTTAATTAGAGTGTTTGCGGTTACATAAAGTCATCGGCGCTCCTGAAGTATAAGTAATAATATGGAAGTAACAAATTTTGTTACCTATTTTACATCCAATTTGTTTAATTAAAGGGACTGAAACCTATGAACAGGGGAATATCATATGGCCAACACTGATATCCCCCGAGCTTGTAATGGAACAAAAACAAGGAAAATCTGAGTAAAATTATGGCCTAATCCTAATCTGGCGCGCATACTTCAGGAGTACCAAGCCATCACGTATTTATTATGAGGAGGAGTTTTATAATAAGTCCAATGGGGTATTTGGAATCTGGTATAATTTGCTTTGCTGTCTGCTACCTGTTCATTGCTGAATTTCATTTCAAATTTGTGTAGCAGAAAAACAGTCACTTGAAATCACGTTATTACTTATCGATTTTAATCGGTAAGTATGTTGATAGTTATTTGTCTGTATGTCTGTCTGTTAGATGCACGCTATATCTCACGAAAGCGAGATTGAATCTGCACCAGATTTTGCATGTGCATTCATCATATGTTGGACCGGAAGGCTATTGATTTCGGATGAATTATGTCGTATAATTAGCGAGTTAATAATTAATTCGTGATGAGACACAAGGTGTCACTATGGAGTAAGAGCGCTGTTTTGGGGGATTCCCTAACTTCGATCGATAAGTCTTCGGTCTCTGACCGATATTCTCGTTTTACTGATTCGAGACGGTGAGACCCGCTGAGCTAAATGCTCTTCCTGTTGCCGTGAGGGTCGCTGGGACACAGAGGTACCACTGGTAATCAACTGCGATATTCGTATGAGCTGGTCAAAAAGATAACGTCATCCCTAATCTAACATAACAGAAATCTACGGGCATAAAATGTGAGATAAACTGCCGCAATATATGTACTTTTATATGTATTTACTGTTGATTAGAGTTGACTTTTAAGAATTCGTGTCTCGCTAACGAACTTTACTTCATGTAAGTGGCAAATATCATATACAGTAGATTCATTCTCGCCTGAAAAGTACTTCAGTGACAACCCATTTTTGAGACAGAATGGAAATAAATTGCACTGTTAATGGATTATATTTTACTCAGGCGATTTCATATCCTCAGATTCAAATAATTCGTTAAGATGTTCAGTTAATTAAGACCCTCTCGCACATATTTAACTCCGCATGGGATTCTATCATGAGAACCCACGCGGGGTAATACGAGGTGCGGTGGCGAGCGTATTCCCAACGTTTAGTCGGTACTCTACAACCGAACAAAGAATATCTTATGTTACAAAGTTTTTTCTAAATCCTCGTCCGTTTTGGTAAATTTGAATATGGCGTTTCGTGATCGTGATCGTGATCGGCGTCTTCAATCCTATATTACAGTGGACAAAGACTCTTATTCCCATTACAATGTACTTTGATAAACGTATGACATTGTATTATATATCCAGAATTGCAATATGTACTTTATCAGTTTTTTCACCATCACACCCGTCCCATTTATGCTATGAAAATATCTGTTCCCCTGTGGTCGACACCACGAAACCACACAAGTTATACCTGTAGTGATATTCTATATTACTTTAATTCAGTACTCGAGTTCATGACCTTCCATGCAGTTATTATCTTACTTAGGCCTGCCCCTAGTGCAGTGCTCTTCAACCGGGTATACGGAATACCCAAGTGTATACCGAATCATAAGTTGGGTATAGGCTACAACTGATAAATGGTATACGAAGGGTGTATAGCCTAAGTCAGGGATACTAAACTCGAATATAATAAATCATAAAATATTCAAGCGGAGACAACAATGCAAACGCGGCGCATATTTCAAATCACAAAGATGTTTCACAATATAAAGACATTCGTTTGGTCATGTCATGGGCAAATTACAGTTCGCGCTTTCAAAATTTTTGGCCCCTGGTGCAAAAACCTTGCCCACCCCTGGCTTAGCTTACAGTAATGAAGGCAGCGGGTAAAACGGCGGAGGATAAAATAAAAATTGATTTCAAGTAACTGCTTTTCTGCTCCACAATTTTCAAAATTTGAAACGAAATTCAGCAATCGAACAGGTAGTAGACAACAATGAAACAGATTGTACCAAGTGCTTTTTTTAACAACAAGAACAAGAGTTCTAACAAAAATATCAACAACATAATGTCAATACGGATGTCCATAAAATCGGGTGAAGTTTACAAGGTTAAACAAGACAAATAATACGTATTTGTAAAATTATTAAACTGTCGTTAACTTTTTTTTTTATCTGTAAAAGACACCAGGTTTGAAACAAGAATTCACTTGACGTTCTGCGTCATAAAGTTTAAAGGTTCAAAATGTCTTATGGTGAGAATATTGATATTGCTCAATTGATATGGTTTCTAAGAAGCTTTGAGCTTGATCAAAGCGTATAGTTTAGAAATAAATTGACGTAAAACAAAATTTTTGACAGCCGCGTAACAAATGAAGAGTATCAGTCGCTAGTTTGCAATTTTCAGGATAGACTTATGAAGAGTCAGATTATTAGGTCACAGAAAGATATCACAGAGTTTTCATTATGGATGTTTAGGTTTTTTCAGTATGATCGAGTCCTAGTCTCTGGATTGTACTATTTACTATAAAAAATTATGATATATTTAATTGAATTCAAGCCCTCACATTCAGAGTTCCAGAAAAGGGACTCTCCTGTATTTTGTTGACGTGCAGAAAAATCCTTAAACGATCTCAAAAATCTAATCAGCAAATGTAAAATCTTCAGCAAGAGTGTTCAAAATAGTGGTATGTTGCAAACTGTGTCGTCTATGAATACCCAATACAAATCAATAAGTAACTTACATAAACAAAACGTAAATATAATTAAATATTAATCATGAAAAATACCCAACAATACCGTTAATTTAAGAAATAGTTAGGTTGTGTCAAATGAAACGGTGTACTTTCGAATTTAAAATTTTAGTTCGCACTTCTTGAAGATACGTCATCTTTCAATGCATTTCAATCCTAAGTAAGAATCCAGCGACCCTGTCGTCGTATATTGACATAATGTGTAAAAAACTAATGGTTAGAAAATCTGAACCGTGGATGTGGACTGTTATACGCCGAAAGCTTGATAACAAAACTTCTACAATGCGATTCATCTTGATATTGGTACCCGTTGGACAAAGAGTGAATCCCATGGCTTGTTTTGGTAAATTGTTGGGGTCATTCTTGTAGGGTATAAACTATTGCAATTTTAAATTTTCGTTACTCAAAGATGGATTAAACCATTCAAACCCTATTATATACTATTAAAGTCTTAGGAGACCCGATAATTTGTCATTTTTCGATTTCGATGTTATATTTCTATTCTTGGGAACGCTTTTTGGACACGTAGTGGACATAACGATCGTTTCAATATTATGTTGTTCTTGTTCTTTGACACGTTTTTAAAAAGTCGCTTTTCTCTTCGAATACTGGACCAATTGCTTTGAAATTTTCAGTGGCTAAAGATTAATTTTTTCGCTAGAAGGCTATTACTTTTGTTTATTCTTAAATTTTATATGAATCCTATGAGATATGATATTTCATACAAAATTTCGCGGTATTTATTTTTACTCATGGGAACACTGTTTTACACTTATTTCAAGCGGTTTCGCGATCGATTGTCTTGCTCAGTACTACAGCTACTGTAGGTCGGTACTGGTAAGTTGCCATACCGGTACAGTAACGCAGTGAAATTGACTTATTCCTTCCGCGGTATTACTAATGCTGCAATGCAAGTTTTATAGCCTATCGTATGCGGAACGGAATATCAGACTTACAGGTTCGGTACCGGTACTGGTAGCTCAGTACGTAAGTACGATACTGGTACTGGTGCCGGTACCGGTGTCTTACCACAATGAAATTACCGTAACTTATTATTTTGATGAGAGTCTACTGGAAACAACATAAAATTTGAAAGGGAAGAATTGTTCTGTGATCAATTATCTGTCCTGAAGTGTAAACAACATAAAATTTGCAAGGGAACAACTGTTCTGTGATCAATTACCGTATATGGCCTACAGTGTACAGGTAAGATGCTGGCTGACTGCTAACCGGTACTGGTAGCTCAGTACGTAAGTACGATACTGGTACTGGTGCCGGTACCGGTGTCTTACCACAATGAAATTACCGTAACTTATTCTTTCACGGTCCTACCAGTGCAGTAATGCAAGCGTTGTAGCACTTGTAGCCTACTATATTTGTTTATTTTGATGAGAGTCTACTGGAAACAACATAAAATTTGAAAGGGAAGAATTGTTCTGTGATCAATTATCTGTCCTAAAGTGTAAACAACATAAAATTTGCAAGGGAACAACTGTTCTGTGATCAATTACCGTATATGGCCTACAGTGTACAGGTAAGATGCTGCCTGACTGCTAACTCAGTACCGCTTGACACGTTTTTGAAAAAGTCGCTTTTCTCTTCGAATACTGGACCAATTGCTTTGAAATTTTTAGTGGTTAAAGATAAAAATTTTCTCCAGAAGACTATTACTTTTTTTTTCGCTATGACGTCATCAAAATTATGTGACTCTACCGTACCGCTACCAACGCGCAACATTTAGTATTCATGTATTTGGGCATTGCTTTCCTGTTCTTCTTCATGTCAAAAAATACAACTTTCTCCTTCTGTTGACATTTTATCGAGCGTGTGGCAGAAACCATGATTATATATATATATAAATTGTTAATTAAATAAGGGAGTACATAAAATGTTGAATGCAGTACAGAAAGAATCACGATTAATTTTAAGTATATATGTTGTAATTATACAGTTGTGATACATTATTACAATCGAGTTTCCTCTTCAGCAACCTCAGTCAATTTCTTATTTCGATGTAAATATTCAGCTACACCTAAAAAACACGTAATTGAACTGACATAATATATTATTTGTTAAATTCAATATTTAAACGACAATATCATTTATTAAAATTGTCAATAGGATAGGATAGGATTTTACATATTTATCCCGGGGGAGAGGAAAGCCGATAAGACGGCTTATCCATATGGCGAACCACGGCCTCTCGTCCGGTTACCATTCCAAGTCGGGTATGGGATTAGTTTTACTGTATCGTTTGTTTTCGGAAGCATGGACTTGATGGTGGAGGAAGCCGTAACCGACCAGCGGTTACGTGAACCACCAAACGACGGCGAGGAGTCCAGCAATCCTCTCGCACATAACTATCTCTGCATGGTATTCGAACCTGCGAACCCACGCAGAGTAATTAGAGGTGCGGTGGCGAGCGTATTCCTAACGCTTAGCCCGTTGAGCCACTCCGCCGCGCCGCATAATAATGCCGCATAAACAACCACAAAAATATTTTTGTCTTCCTACTATATTTGCTAATAAGCATGCTGAAGATATTAAAAGGTCTATGCTTGTGAATTCATTTTTATCAAGACACAGGGTTCTATCTTTGTTGAAACTTACCGTAGCAAATCATTCCTAAAATTAGCATTCCGATCTGGATATAAATTTTAACGTATACACAGAGCTTTGTACTCCACCCAAATTATAGAGCATAGCCCAAGGTTGACCATAGAACGCAGCTTGTAACTGCAACATCGTGACTTCCTTCGAAATATTCAAGATACAGTACTGAAAGACAACAAAAATTCTCAATGTAAATTCCAAATATTCTCAATGCTATCGGAAAAATATCCGTCATCGAATCAGGTATTACTCACATTGGTATTATTTCTCCTGTATATATTAATAGGAAAAATTCAAATTCACTCGAATTCGGGTGATTCGTCTTATTGTTACTTTGTAAACACCATAAAACAAAATCTCAAAGTGATTTTCCTTAATAATCAGAGCTGTGGCTTATTGAATTACTTGGTTATGTAATATGAAGGCATTCAATAGTATATAAATATCAATAACAAGATTCAGCTGTAACTGGCTTAGAAAAAATTGAGTCTTTCGCTTCGATATAAGTAAGTAGAAAATTTTTGAGTCTTTGATTCACAAGCTTATGTCCTGTATCTTGCGCAATGAATACGAGAAAAATCTTAAGCACTCCTCAAAAGTCAAATATCGAGAAATAACCAGGCGATATACAAATTAATTTGATAAATGCAATTAACTGTATATATCCACAATTTGATAATTTTAAACATTTAAAACGTTATCACTTAATACATACCATTTGTCAATGTTTGCCATATTCCATCCGTTACTCCGAAGGCAAAATATATTATAAAGATTGACCATGCTGATTCGAGGGTCCCACCATAGACAATATGCATAACTTCCAAAGTCAACAACCATTGAAAATACAAAAAATGGAATTCGACCAATTTTCTTCCCGACTTTCCCAACAACATAAGATAACACGGCATCAGAAAATAATCCGTAAGTTGCCATATGTATTCCTACCTGTAAGAGTGTCAAATTATTAAAGTAAAACGATGTACTTGTTCACCGTGAAGAACTATATATAAACGTACCATTTCTACACCAACAACGCACGAAGAAAATGCTCTCGTTAGCTCTGAAAAAACGTATGCCTCCAACAGACCCAAGTACAATGTTATCGGACATCGGTATCAATAACAACTGCATGCCGCATGGTCTTTATTGTGTGTTTTCCCAAATCCTTCAAAGACTCCAAATAAGCGCCTGCAAAGGTTTCTTTTGTTTCCTAATTAAAGAGACATTCCAACTATAGATTCACCCATCATTCAATCATTGTACCGTCATTGGTAATAGACCTATATAATCTGATTGTGACGCGATAGTGTGTTAAAGGTGGCATATTCTAAATGTAAAATTGGCATCAATTCTTAGCTGGGATAGTTTAGGGCCCCGCGCTAGTCATTAGAGATACCTAATTCAAGAAGCATATTCAAGTATATAGGATATTCAGGCTGCGACAGGAGCGGCGTTCATTCTTTCTGAAAAAGAAAGTCCGTCTCAATGACGTTTTCCTTGCCTGGTGATAAATCTGGTGAATTCCACTCTTTCCAGACGCAAAAGGACTAAGAAGAACTGAATGTTTTCGGCGGTACAGGTATCATTAAATGGGACTCTACAACTGGTCCCAGCTAAATATTGATGTCAATGTTACATTTCAAATTTGCCCTTTTACACATCATAGCATCAGTGGATTGTGAACGTCCGTTACTGCTGACAGAAAAATAAATTACTACATATGGGGCCCATTCGTTAAATCGATCTGGACTATAGTTGAAAATTAAAAAAAATCTTTTTTTAATTAATTTAAATCCCTTTGGACGCTAAAAAGTTGATGAAAATGAGTTTGTATTAATTTTTCCAAGATTTCTCACATAGAATACAAGAAACACATCTCCGGAATATAAAAAAAAAACTTCGCGAGTAGGGTGTTTAACCTCTGGTATTGCATTTAATTCTTGTTTCCCATCGTGTAGTTTCAGTTTCATGAACATTTAAACAATAATGTAATGTTAAACAGAAAGGCTAATGCATAGGAAGCTCTGACTGTAAGATATTCAGGCATTGGCCTTCTATGTAATGAACCCACCGTTGATAGTTCGGCAAGTCACATGCTATCAAGTCACACTGTTATATAATCCAACTTTGTTAGCATAAATCATGCATTTCATGTGCCGTTTATTATTTGAATACTGGGGTTGTTAGGATTAGTAGCTGCGAATATAAAAGTAGTAATGAGGAGGACAAAATGTACAATGGGGATGTTAGGGAATATATAATGATTGGACTTCAATATAATGTGAAACAGTTGCAGCGCTGGAGATCAGTGACACATGGTAGAAGTTGCAACTTGAGCGGCTAGGCTGTATGAATTGTGAAATTTACCAAGAGAGTGATACCAGGTAAACGTGGGATCCCAGTAATGGTTTGATGACTTGATGTAGCAGTATTCCACACTGTTTGGTGATATCATCCTGAACTCGTGTATGACAATTCTATAAGTTTAATAAACTGTGTCAGGTATTGTCGTGTTGGGATGTGGGGCAGGAGTTTGCATGAACAACATAATATTTAGGCTGGAACTGTCCTTAAAATAGAGGTCAGGTCCTCTTCGAGTTCCATAGAGACAGAAGACCGGGTTAGTTGAGCAAATTTGATTCATAGTTCACTCGTGAATATATACTACTTCATGCTTACGGAATTTATGTAAGGAAAGACCATCACTGTGCGTTTATCACCAATTTACACATCGACTAGTTATGTGCTGATTTGGACCTCCCGAAGTATTCGCACCAAGATGGCGCACAACCTGAACTCAGGTTCAGGTTGTGAGACATCTCGGTGCGCATACTTCAGGAGTACCGCTGATTTTATTAATATAGTTTATATATATATACCGATAACAAAGGGCTGGTTACAGAATCAGTACAGCAGACAAAACCCACATAAAATATAGAAGGTTTGAGACAGAGTATAGCCTGATATGCGTTTTTTCAATTAAAAATATGTTATAGCAATAGGTCAGGCACATAGATCGAGTATATTTTTAACCTCGATTTGTTAGGTTTATTGACATTTCTAAGGATGCAACAATATTATTTGAGATACTAATATGTATTCAAACCACTACAGTGTTTGTCAAATGCCACGCCCAATAGAACTACCATGCTATTCAAAATGAGAACACAGAACGCTATCTAACCTAATGTAAAATTACGCCGACGAGTTCTCAGTACTACGTCATCAGCGGCCCTGCTAATTATCTGTCGATTTCTGCAGAATTGACTTTTAAATATTCGTGCCTCGTGAAAGAAGTTCACTTTATGTAAGCGGTAAACGCCATGAATCTCAAAAAATTATCTAGAACCAAATTCATCTCGAAAATATTTTCATGATAACCCATCTTTAAAACTAGCTACCTGGCAAAACTGAATACAAGTGAAAAAATATCCCGAGTAAAGATTGACGAAGAATTCGTTTTCTTTATATTTGTGTTTTTTCAGAGTCGCATATTTTGTGGCAAAACAGAAATTGATCAATGTCATTGATAACCATATCGTTGCTTCACCAGCTCCAACTAGAATCGCTGCTGGTATCAGTGTGTAAAATTCTTGAAAATTAAATTGAAAACATTTCAAAATAACATAAAATTTACCCAAGCACGGTCTATCCAAAAAATTTCTTTGAAATTTATCCATCCCGATTGTTCAAAATATTTGTATTTTTATGCGTACATATTTTATTTCTAGTCAGACGTGAATGCGCCTGAAGAACTCTTTGCTTTCAAATATCGCTGCGTGCAGCAAGAACTGGCCGTGATAAAAAAAAATAACCTTTGCACCACCTTCCATAATACCACACTAATGGGTTCAAAAAGGCGGAGTAAAAATAGGAGCACAATAAAGGGATTAGAATCAAATTGCTTCGAATCGTCGTGATTAATGACCACTACAAAATACTTCGGAACTTATCAATGCAATTACATAATACACTTACCGGGATAGAGATTAGCAAGAAAGTAAATTATTTAGGTAACTTCACTTGCTATCAAACATTTCTTCGCTCCAAATTTTCTCAAAAGTATTGTGGTGAAAAATACGAGAAATATATTGCATGATATGTATGATGTAGACAAAGAAATCGTGCCTGAAATACCGTTGATAAACAGTTGGTTACCTGATGGATCTATTTCAGCGTTAGGCCGATTGTACGTTTGTTAATAAATACAAAACATTGTCTATAAAAATTTCTCTAGGATTTTATTTTTTTAGTCAATTGTGTTCCATATATGTTTGTTCTACCAATATACCAATGAGTGGAGCGTTTCATATAAAAATCTAACCAACAAGTCTGACTCGTATTTCCTTCTTTCTATAATCTCTTTTTTCATTTTACCTCATTGAAGTTTTATTGATATATCATATTACGGATAAGGTAGAACTGTAACGGGTTGCAGAAACATTAACAAGTATTTTTTTCAGGCAGGGTTCTCCCTTAGGCGTATCTGTGTTTTAGAGCTACATGGTCCGTAACTCCTATATTGCTGGGAACTGACTTCAAATATCGCTGTGAAATTTTTATTCATTTATGAACTAACATGCTAATCATTGCACTATTGCCAAACACAACACATTCTTTTTTACACAATGCAGTAAAAAAAGAATTATATTGATCTCACCTAATCCATCTGCTATATTAATACTTGACTGTAGATTTAATATCGCACTGTAAGATGAATATCTCAAAAACACTCCAAGTAAATATCCGATGAAATGATTACGTACGACGGATGATTCAGTTTCATTTCTCTTCCCTTCCATTCTAATATTTTCTCTACTTCGCGGGATGAAAAATAGTAACTTTACACAGACAGCGACGCGAGTATCTGATTTAATGAAACTATTTGTGTCATTGATTGATATAGAATTTATTAAAGTGTACGGCTGAGTTTGGCTATCGCAAATTCGATAACATCGTGCATCGTTTAACAACCTATTTGTGGATATATTTACACATAAAAAATCAGTTACCATGTAACGCATCTCTAAGATCTATCACGGTAGGCCAAGGTATATTTTGTATATATCATGTCTACGTTTATCCACAAAAACATGAAATACTTGAACATTAAAAACGCCGTTGTCGAAAGTAAATTATTTTGGAATAATAATGAAAAATGAGGTGTATGTGAAATGCTAAGCATATTAAATCTCTATGGGAAGAAAAACTCAATATCAAATATAATCTGTCATAAGTTCTCTTTGACTATTTTGCATGAAACTTTTGTGGTGCCCCAACAACAAATTTTTTATAGGAACTTTTTTTCGAGAAAATCTAGTGAAATTTGACATATTTCATTCAAATCCACGAGATATTATCTGCATATATATAATAACTGAAAATTACTGCACCGCATCAAAGGTCATTATCATCAATATTACAGACTAATTGCTACTTTGAATTGAGTTGCACGAGACTAACTCTATTTCTTTCCTCTATGCCTTTATGCTAGTGGATCCGTATGCCTTTATGCTGTAGTTGAAATAAACATGACTCTTCTATCCAATTGAAGAGTCCAGCTGCACACTAACACAAATGTACCAAAGTCAGACTTCCTCAGACAAGCAGTGTACAATAATGGCAAGAAATGAACAATCAAGCAGTTTAAGTTTAGCGATAAATAAATTTGTTCAAAGTTGAAATCGCAAATCAATTATGACGAAACAATGAAAAACATTTAATTCATATTTAGCCATAGAAGTAATGATAGGACAAATTAGAACCACAAATATCAGTCAGTCTCATTTCAGATGTGATTCGAAAAATTATCACTTTCACGAAAATGATTGGTAACTAAATGTAATTAAAATTAAGGTTGTGGGCACTTAGAAAACAATAAGTAGTCAAACCAATATTAAAACATCAATCAGTGCTTAATTTGGTGAGGAACAATTGGAAAAAAAATAAGAGTAAAAAGTAATTATTAAATTCTTATTAAATCTTAAATAACGTCAGAATGTAATATTAATCCATAATTCTGAACTCGACAAAGATTGCAAGAAAGAAATATACAAATAACACAAAAAGGAATTCAACAACTCGAGAAAAATTACACTAAAAGAAACCCGACTTCATCACCACAAGCTAAACCTAGAGCAATTTGCAGCAACTGGGAAACGTCCGAAAGGACTCGAATTCACTCCGAAAACTTGTGCCACTCCCCTAAAAAGCCTGGCCAAATGGCAAAATTTGGTACTCCTGAAGTATGCGTACCAAGATGTCGCATAACCTGAACCCTAACCGGGTACACAACCTGAGTTCAGGTTGTGCGCCATCTTGGTGCGCATACTTCAGGAGGTCCCAAAATTTACATAAAGAATTTTCAAAACAATTGACGAAGCAAGCTTTTAAAAAATGTCGTTTAAGTTTAAATGAGGTAACTAATAACGGGTTAGAAATAGAAAAAAAAAACTACGAGCAAGAATGAAAGTACATAACTGGAATGCTATCCGGCTTATGATAGATATTTCTAGAACAAATCTAACGGCAAAACAAAGGGATAATTCCAAAAAAACTAAACCACACCGTTCACGTTTACAACCAAATATACATAAGAAAAATCACCCCAGTTGGCCAATCATATCAACAAACGGAACTGCAACGGAAAACTTATCGGCTTACATAGATTACGAATTAACTAACCTTATGTGCAAAGAGGTAATACCGTCATATGTCAGAAACAGTATGGATTTTCTGAATATAAGTTGTGTTATTGTACTACGTCAAACACAAATTTCAAGCTTTTATAGCCAAATGGATAATTGAGCATAAAAAAATACAAGCCAGGCACAAGGCCGCATTGTAACTTACTTGTATGAACCTTTTTTTTTACAGCACTAGATATAAAAGTGTAATCCTTGTCAATATCATCATAGATGTTCTAAATAATGAAGCTCTGTAGAGTACTCATACTGCCCTTTAGTGGATGGTATCATAAATTCTCACATAGATTACGAATTAACTAACCTTATGTGCAAAGAGATAACACCGTCATATGTCAGAGACAGTATGGATTTTCTGAATATTCTAAAAAAAATTGACAATATTCCGCCAGGATCTTATTTAGTAACTTCCTGACTTCCTTATATACAAATATTCCACATAAAGATATCTTAGCAGTGGAAAAGTACCTCAACAAATATTACAAAAACAAACGTGAAATTTCATGGATTAAAGAAGCAGTTAATATGGTTCTCAATAATAACAATTTTGTATTTGATGAAAAGCATTATCTTCAAATCAATGGGACAGCGATGGGAACTAAGATGGCTCCCAATTTCGCGAACATATTCATGGAAGACTTAGAGTCTGAGATACTAAAAACAGCCAAAATCAAACCACAATACTACTATATATATATTGATGATTTCTTTCTGATCTGGACACGCGGCGAAACTGAACTCATAACTTTTATAAAACGTGTATCCTACTACCAAGTTTACATTCAAATATTCAACGGAAAACATTGCATTTTTAGACGAAAAACTTCATATATATCATGGACAACAAATGGGAAACCAAAATTTACACCAAAGATACGTACTCTCACCAATATATTTTACCATCCTCGAGCCACCTCAAACATATTACTACAAACATTTCAAAAGGACTCTTCATACAAATAACAAGATTGTGTTCAAAGTTTGAATTTTTCCACAAGCATGCAGAAATTATGAAATGCTATCGTGTTCAAAGTTTGAATTTTTCCACAAGCATGCAGAAATTATGAAAGGCTATCTCATGCAAAAAAAATTACGAAGAGACTTCTATAGACAAAACAATAAAATTAGTAAAAAAAATGACCAGAGATTGTATTTTAACACAGAAAAGTAAACACCAAGATCAGAACCTGTTGCCATTCATTACCAACTACCACCCAAACCAACCGAACTTTAGAAAAATTCCTTTGAACTATCAGAATTTCCCTTGACAGCAATGCACGATTAAAAGAGATTTTTCCTCAACCTCCGAAAATTGCCTATAGAAAATGCCCTACATTACGTGACAGACTGGTTAGAGCTAAACTACAACCAGTAATAACCCAGACAGTACAATCAGGTTTTTATAAATGCAATAAAAAAGCATGCACCACCTGTAAATATTCCGAAGAGACAAAAATGAGTACCGGGAACGTGACGGGAGTTCATATATACATTAATAAAAGAATATGTTGCAACTCAAAAAATGTCATTTATCTAATAACTTGTGAGAAGTGTGGAATGCAGGATATCGGCGAGACGGGTAGATCGATGAAGTATCGAATAACGAAACGTATTACAAAAAAGAAAGATGATTTAGTAGTTGGAACACACTTCAACCAACTGGGGCATTTAATAAACGACTTTTCAGTAACCGGAATAAAAAACTATTTAGAGACCAAGCTTATCGCCAAACTGAAGAGCATACTTGATCAACATATTAGGAACATTAGAATCCTCAAGACTTAATTTACGGGAGAAATAGACTATTGGCTCTTCTAATTATTATTTAACATTACTTTTCATTCTAACGTCATGAAAGATTTAAATTTAATAGTCACTCTTGTCTTAACTCTGATCTTCACAGCATTACTCGCCCCTAGATTGGCGTTTTATTCGACTATTATTTCGAAGTTTATTTTTAATTACAATTCGAAAACCATGATTTATGTGCATGCAATAGTTTATCTTGTCCAACTCGAAATATGCTAGATCGGCGGTTCCCAAACTATGGGTCGCGACCCACTGGTGGGTCGCAAAAGGAATCTTAGTGGGTTGTGAAAAGATGTAGAAAGCTTTGATTAATTACACTGGGTATTAGAATCGGTGGCGACTCAAACACGTAAATCTTCAAAAAAAAAAATTAAATTGAATTCAAATTCTAATCTGTGAAAGTTTCCTTTTTACGATCTTTTCAAATGAACAAAAATTTGCTACACAAAGAATGACCATGTGTCGTTTTTACCCATAGCAGTTTTGTACACTGTACAGCACTTCTTATCGTGTTTCCCCGAAATTTAGACAGGAACTAGATTTATTTTCTTTTGAGAAACAACACTATAATTTTTTTTTTGAAAGAGGTCTTTTGTGTTCATTTATCAAAAATAAAATTACATTGTAGAAAATCACGAGATGGGTCGCCATAAGCTGTGGTAATAAATAGTGGGTCCCAACTCTAAAAAGTTTGTGAAACACTGTGCTAGATGGTTCATTTATAATTATTATTACATTCTGACTTTATTTAACCTTGATAAAACGTGCAAAAACCATCAAGAAAAGACTACATATGGACACGAAGAAATGTATATTCGACAATTGTCGTAATTTTCAGTTTGGACACCCCGGGGACATTGGCGTTCATTTATGTATCCATCACGAGCTTGTGACCAAGATGTTACAAGCAAACCATGTCATAACTTGCGCATAACTTAGAAAACAGTACAACGTCATAGTCGAGAGTGTCCAATGAATTGAAATTTTGCTTATACATTTGCTTTTTGACTTTCATGCAGCTAAATTTTATGTCAGTATTGTAAATCCATATTATCCCAAAATATGGAAGCGACATGGAGGGCATCGTTATTCGAATACCAATACGAGAATACGTATACAGTACTATTGTACAGCCTAAAACTAGAAAATTGAAGTGAAAGGCAATGTTGCAACACAATGTACAAATACAATGTTATTTTAAGTCAAACATGATTGACTTCCAGCAAATCAAAGTTTGGCAACAGAATTTAGCTTATGCCCGGCTGATGACTAGTTTTTCACTCGGACTATACTGTTGCTAACGTGAA